TTATTTTATTTTATTTTTTAACGTATTTACATATTTAATTCTTTTATATTATATATAAATATATATATAACAATAATTATATATATATATTTAATCAGTATCAGTCTACGTGTAATTTGATATATATATATATATATATATATATATATATAATTATATATATATTAATAGTAAAATACACCTATACAGTGTACGTGTGTGTATGTATGTGTATATATATACTTAGATCTAAGTATATATTATTTTTTTTTACACTTTTAACTTTTATTTAATTTTATTTCTAGCCAGCAGGGGGACCACCTGTCATTACAGGCAGCCCCACTGCTGGCAATGCTGCAGCCAGCTATCCCGGCCATGTGATTGTGAGGTCCTCGCAAGGACCTCACTCTCACATGGCCGGGGGGGCTTCCAGGGGGTCAGACGAGCCTCGGGGGGCTCCCTGGGAGTCCCCCCAACCGCGATCGCCGGCGTGGGATCGCCGGCGACCAGGTAAGTAAAGAAAGACCGGAGGGCGTACTATTACGCCCGGCGGCATTTAGAGCCGCCTAAAATAGGGCGTAATAGTACGCCCTCCAGTCTTAAGGGGTTAAAGCAATAGTAATTTCTCTACCTTAGAACTGACTATGGTTTGAATCCTGGTCCGGGAACCTTACCAGCATCCTTGGTCAAGACACCTAATGATAAATATTTGCCAACCTCAAATCCTCAGTAATTGTAAACTTATTTAAGCAGGGCTTTCTTTGCCTCTAAATAAATTTCTATAACTGTAAAGTGCTGTGGAATGAGTTGACACTACATAAATGATTATAATAATGTTATTGGATGCAGATTACACTATTCTATGATCTGCTTTTTATCAGACTGGTCATATATGCAGTATCATTTTTACCACCAGAAATAAATCATCCATGTGAATAATTTCCTATAATTCACTAGAATGACAGTGACCCCTTTTTTATGTGCTATATACCTGTAGATCAGGGCTGCCCAAAAGGTAGATCACAGATGTTGTAAAACTATAACTCCCATGATGCTTTGCATGCATTTAGCATGCCTTTAAAATGACAATGCAACATGGAAGCTGTAGTTTGAAAACATCACCCCTACTTTAGATGATACTTTGAAATGCATATGCAAAACAATAAAGATTAAATAAAAAAAAAAACGATTAGTAGTTGCTGTATTTGGTGCAAAATTCCAGCATTCACAGCTTCTAAATTGAGATATCACCAAATCAGAAGGTAACTGAACACTTAAAGGAACACTCCAAACAGGTATCAGCAATAAATGATGAAATCAATGAGAAATGGAAAAAGCACACAAAACCGCTCTTCTCATCCTCAAAGAGAAATTTTAAAAGAGCTATCATTCACAGCTTTAAAATAAGATTTGGAAACTAAGCAAAAAGAAAAAGGGAAACTCTTGCAATATTTTCAGTTGGTGTTTAGGGAAAAGTAAGCAAAAAAAGGGGGACGCGGTACACAAAAATGTAGGTGCAAAGAAATAGATCACGGATAGTTGTATAACAAGTGCTCTTATAGTGGTAGTGATATTTACACCACCAATGTCCAATAAAGTCCCTGGATTAAATGTCCATAAAATAGATTAAACTGTAGCTGGCAACTAGCTTGCACCCTTTGTCCAGAGACACTGTCAACAATGTATCAGCCACTGTGATATAGCAAGTAGTGTGCAACAAAAGTGAAAAATTCAATCGGCTCTAAACACTCGTGAAGGGTACCTTACTCGCCTCACCAAACAACAATATATGATTAAAATATATTACAAGTGCACAAACTTATAACATAGAAGGGGAACGCAGTCTGCATAAAATTATATTTTACCCTCCTACAAATAAAGAAACAATAGTGTAGATGGTAGCAACCCCAAAAATATATAACTAAAATAATGTAGTATATACTCACTCACATTGAGTAGAGCCAATCAGAATAGGCTCCTTAAATTGTGCAGTGGTGCTTAACAAGGTGGCACCCCACCGTTCTACTTACGTGGAGACTTCCAACTCCGAAAGCAAAATGACAGCAACATAGAGCTGTACATCTCGTAGAAATTCAATTGGAGTGCTATGTACATACAATTATTTCTCACCCTCTTGCCAATAAAGGGTAGCAACAGCAATGGATGTAAAAATACAAATAAAGAAACAATAGTGTAGATGGTAGCAACCCAAAAATATATAACGAAAATAATGTGGTATATACACATTCACATTGTATAGAGCCAATCAGAATAGGCTCCTTAAATTGTGCAGTGGTGCTTAACAAGGTGGCCCCCACCTTTCTTCTTACCTGGAGATTTCCAACTCAGAGATAAATCAATGACAGCAACAAAGAGCAGTAAATCTAGTAGACATCCAATGAATATAGAAAAGGATAAAGTGCAAATTCCTGACAATGAGAACAAAACATCCCAGTGTCACCCAGAATTGTGGGATACACTGGGAGGAAGACACAGTGTACATGGGAGGTTTGGATGAGTCTAGTTTAACCCCTTAAGGACACATGTCATGTCATGATTCCCTTTTATTCCAGAAGTTTGGTCCTTAAGGGGTTAGAAAATTCACACCTTCTACCTCTCTTTGTAAATACCCTCTTCCCTGCCTGTCCAGAGGTGGACACCACCCACCTCTTATACCCCTGTTTTAATACTGTTTATATTTTCTTTTTAAGCGGACCATTATTTTTGTATCATTGAGAATAAAGTTTAAGGTTTTTTTTTGGCTACTTATAATACTTTTGTGCTTCCTCCCAGTGTATCCCACAATTTTGGGTGACACTTTGTTTTGTTTGTTTTTGTTCTCATTGTCAGTAGTTTAACTTTAGAGTTATCCCCTAATTGGAAGCACTATTTAGGTGACTTTTCTTTTGATCTGGGAGGTGCAGGGGGAGTGACCTAAACATCTTGTTTCACCCTAGGATATCCCCTTAGGTGGGACAAGACTCCCTTTTGTTCCTCCTGGATAATTTATAAAGTGCAAGCTCACCTTATTTAGAGCCTACATTTCTTGGCTCTAAAGTTAAGGTTAGGCCTGGTGTCAGTTTCTGGGGCAACACCTCCCCCTACTACAAGGCTGGATCCTATAACAGAACAGCTGGAACCAGTGCTGTAACTTTAAAATGTATTATAAACAATTATAAAAACAATAAAAGTTTGCTAAAAGCAAAAGTCCAGCAATACAAACTGCCAAAACGTGTTTCGCTTATTAAGCTTTCTCAGTTAGCAGTGATTATTATTCCTGGTCTCAATGTTTTATTGCACCATTTGTCATAAGAGTACTGTTAGGGTTTTCCTGATGAATGTATTAGTAGACTGATACTGGGATTTGTAGGGTTATTAGGGCATTTACCCATCTTTTATAGTTCTATATATACATATTTTTGGTATATTAATATCTATTTAGTTAACCTATATGCAGAATGTTTTTTATTGTATTAACGATGTTCCCCATTTTCAATGTATACTCATTTTACAAAAATTGCGGATTTCAATAGAAATTGGCACTTTAATACATTAACCTTGACCCCTGACTGTCAATAAGACAAAAGGTCCTGTTATTTCCTGGTTGTTTAGCTCAGTAAAGCTAAACTCAAGAGGCAACAATTGCCCAGAGCGACTACTTTGCAAAGACACATCATTGAGCTGCATTGGGAAGTATATGATTGGACAGCCACAGAAAGTCTGGGCAGGGTTAGAAGGGGAGGGTGTGCAAAGACTGCAGACCAGAGAACTGTAGCAATTGCAAGATGTTTTTAAATACACATGAAAAAAGTACTTAATTAAATGCATGCATTTTTTAATTGAGGCTATATCTACTAAACAGTGAGTTTTTTTGGGGGGGGAGGAGAGGGGTAGTGGAGGGTCCCTTTAATTTTCTAAAGCAGCGCTGAGTTTAAATGAACATTACATGGTTTGTAATGCTCAAGGGACAGTTCAAGCATCGTCTTTCTACTGTAGCAGTCATAACATTATGTACAGCAGTATTTGTGGAGAAAATATGGAAACACCATAGGTTAGGAGGGAGAGGTCAAAAGGGAGGAAAATGAATTATATTGAATGTAGCCTTATGTATACATTGCACCAGACATGTATGGTTGCCTGATACCCTTTTAAATAAAATCTCAACAACCAACTAATGTCACTTAAAATGAATTGGTTTTAAGGTTCCATGTGTTAAAATATCATATAAAACAAAATGTGTATGGACCATTTGTACTTCAGGGATGTGAAACAAAATGTCATGGATATTTACTCAACCATTGTTGAAAATTGACCAAGAAATGTAAAACGTTAGGTCAAAATAGCTAACAGAAGAAATTCCCAAATCAGTTATTTTTCTAGTGGAATTATGGCCCACAATTTGCAATGCCCTGTTAATGCCCCGATGAATTAAATAACTGTGTTTGTAATATTTGCCAAACAAAGGTATGTGAATATGGCAAGTGCTGAGAATACTAGGCATGGTTTTGATTTAATATAATAGGAACATTAACTTACATTACGGGATTAAGCAAAGTACAGGATGTTCTTTACTGTGAATACAGTCAAAGTTCACAGTCTAAAATGGGAGGTAAAGAGGCTTAGATTTAACGTAAGGATGGTTTACAATTAATACTTTTATAGCTGCTAACAGTCCTAAATTTGCAAGGACAATCTAGCATCTTGGGTAATTGAATTTGCAAGGACAGTCTTACATTTTGGGGTATTACCAGGCAGATTTTAAGATACAGGAAGGAATTGGGCACTAGAACCATGCGGAAAGGGTGGACATGCCCCTTTCACAAACTTTGAACTGTGCGCTGCGCAGACTTTTTTCTTGCCTGCCCACCTTTGTGAGCAGAGAAGATAAGCAGGTATCCACTTGAAATTAAAAGAAAATGTATGTAAAATCAGGTAAAGGAGAAAGCAAATGGCAATAAATTATTTTATGCCAATAAAATATCTTTATTATAAAATTAAGAACAAAATCTATTAATATCTAAACGTGTTTCGCCTTAACAGACTTCTTCAAGTAGATAGTACTCTTTCCTACTATCTACTTGAAGAAGCCTGTTAAGGCGAAACGCGTTTAGATATTAATAGATTTTGTTCTTAATTTTATAATAAAGATATTTTATTGGCATAAAATACTTTATTGCCATTTGCTTTCTCCTTTACCTGATTTTACATACATTTTGTTTTAATTGATTTTACGTATACGGCTCACCCTGCAGGAAGTGCAAAGAATCCATAGGTGGGGATTATACCACCCGAGCGCCTTCATTGAGCAGTTTTGAGTCTGCTCTACTTTACGTGAGTAGTATACTTTACTTTCTTTTAATTTTGGATTACATACAGTGAGCACTATATATTTTATTTCACTTTTTCCTCTGGGTCGTATCACGTCAAATTGAACGCTGAACCCACGTCAGATATTCAACTATCAAAATTCACTCCATATATCTTTGAAGTGGGGATCATTCCACTTTACGCGAGCAATATCAGAGCTGATCCTATCTCTGAAAAGTGTGTGTAAGACTGATTTTATACTTTTATATTTATTTTATACACTGATTTACTGTGCCATTGGAGTCCTGTTTTTATTTTTCTCTCCACATATGCTGAATTTTCAACATTTGAAGATACGATCCCATCTACACCCTAAAGAACATTCCTTTACAAGTGGGACCTACCCTCACGGACTGTGATAAGCCTATTTTATTGGACTATTGTTTTATTACTTATTTTATTCTGTATTTTATCTGATTTAGTCCTTTATTTAATCAAGTTTTAGGCACATCCTTATATCTTTGTTTGTTCTTGCTATCTGTTACCATTAGGGGATTATTGGGGACTCCCCTTTGAGGAGTGCTGCCTTTCCTAATAATTTTATTGTGGCAATTTAGCGCTGTTTTTTTCTTTTTTTTCTCTTTTTCTAATTTTAAGATATGTTGGTCACCCAGATCAGGGCTATCAGGGGATATAACATTTATGAGAATTTTATGAGTTTTGGGGTGTTTTTGAAGTTTTGGGGAAAATTTGTTTTTTTCTGCCTGGAGATAATTGAGTTATTACAGTATCTGACCCAATTATCTCCTAGGCAGAAAGGAGGGATTATATGTTTACTATGGGAGTGTTATACTTTGTAACCCTGTTGTGATTGGTGTATAACTTTGTGTTAGAGTCCCCAACAAGGTCCATGTGGGAGTACCCCTTGTATCGGGACTTGCATAAAAGCCAGTGTGGCACCCATTAAAATCATTCCTGTTAAACCCTTCATCTAGTTTCGACTGATGTTTGGGTACCTGTCTACTTTGCTGGGAGAATACACTTGGGAGGTTGTTATTCATATGGCGAATCATTTGAATCACTCAGGCTCCAGCAGTTTGGGAGGAAATAGGCGAACGAATATCTGCTACCAGCATTCATTACTATATATATATATATATATATGTATAATTATTCCAAAGCTCTTGCACTCCTACTTAAAAAAATATAGTACCTGATGCTCTGGTTACGTAGAAGATATAGTTTTATAAAAAAAATAACCTTATTGCAAATATATAGTCTAATATTTACTATTAATCTATAGCGATATTTTGACAAAAATACATCTTTTCATCAAATCTCTATACTAACATTATCTGTTAAGAACTTATCATAAACTAAAATCACCAAAAGCTATAATGAACAGTAACTTAATTTAAAAAAATAAACTAAGTTCTATATATATTGCTTAGAAAAAAAAATATCGCTATAGATTAATAGTAAATATTAGAATATATATTTGCAATAAGGTTAATGATGTATATAGGCTTATACCACTTAAGGTGGTTAGGTAGGATAAAAGATCATCATCTGTTATGATCTGTATATGCCGATGTATAGTATAACTTATTGCTTATTGGATTTTTCAGTTATAAATTTTGAGAAATGGTAATATTCATATTATGCTGTTCCCTATAGCAAGATTTGGTTCTCAGGATTTTAAACATATGCACACAACACTATAGATATATGCACTTTATTCAATGGTTGTTTGAATTTTATAAAATTCACTTTAGCATATATCACTGCATGCAATTACGTGGATACAAACTAGGAGTCTCAGTCCTGTGTACTTGTGGGATCTATTGACATTTGGCCTTATTTATGCAGGATATTCTTCTATTTTATCTGTTGGTCTTTGTCATATTAACACTGTTTCAATTCTATTTGTTGCCACAGTGTAACAGGTGATACTTTGCAACTATAACTTAGTATCGTGCAGTTTCACTGTTTCTGGTATATCATTCTTAGGAACATGCGCACATTGTTTGCTGGGATGCTGCTACGTCGGCTTGTAGGCGTTAATGGGTCACTATAGCAACTAGGTCACAGGCGTATTTACTACTTCCGGGTATCACAGGCATGCACATGCGCACAAGTCTCGGCGGCACGCCGAACACTTTAAACTCCATCAACTGAGGTGAGTTTATTAATTTTTTTATGGGCTATATAATACTGTTTTTGCATGGTTTTATGTGGTCAGTTCATCCTGAGGAAAGCCCCGAACCAGGGTTGAAACGTTGATATGATTTTATGGATTAATTCCCAATAAAGAAGTTTCTATTTTCTTCAAAAGACCGTGAGTGCAAGCCTTCTTTCTATTGTATATATATATATATAATTTTATTTTTATTTTTTTATTTTTTTAATATATATTATTAAATATGGTAAGCTCGTTTGAGCAGGGCCCTCTTCAACCTTTTGTTCCTGTAAGTTTTTATAATTGTCTCATTTATTGTTAAATTTCCCCCTCTTATAATATTGGAATTTGTTGGCGCTCTATAAATGCCAAAAATAATAGGCTGTATGGGGAAAAAAGTCTATTTTTTGTTATATGTACATATGTTTTGTCCCATCCAAATTTTTGTTTGTGTTCCCATTGAATAATATGCTATATATACATGCTGAAACAAACAATACATTTAAGAATTACTTTCTAAAATACTCTGGGTTTTTTTTTTCAAACTGCTTGGTAAACGAATTAATCAAATATAGACATGTTTGGGAAATAGTTATGGCTAAGCAGTACATATCATGAGCCATACAATACGTTTTAGAGTAGGTGAGAAAATTGGCAGACTAGATACCAAGATCTGGAATAAAACTTAAACCTTGTACGCTTGTAGTCATCTTTATCAGGAAGTTCCAATAGAGTATAACAATTTACTTGCAAAGAAAGCATTAATTGTTAATGTTACATACAGATACATGGACGTAGGTGGTAAGATGGCCGTTCAGGTGATATGTACTAGGACTAAGTAAAACATCAACTGATAAGGTGACCATTACATATAAAGGAATTCATTTAAGGGGGCCAGTCATTTCTTTGGAAATATTGAGGGTGAGGAATCATAGTACAAATCCTGGAAAATGTCAGTTGCGTATTAGGAGCCACAAAAAAAAAAGAAGTTTAAAAAATAATGATAACAGTTTATAATGTGGATAAAATTTAATGCATTAATTTAAAGTGATTGAATTTTTGGTGGCTCCTGAATCTTCACTTACCCTGATTTTTTTTTTTCCAAGCCTATAGTGCTCAGTTATCACTGATAACATATGGCCTGTATCATCCCTGAGAATTAGTCTTGGTACAACTAAGCAAACACACTTTGTGAATAAAGAACTAGAGAGTTTGCTCTGAAGACATTCATGCTGGAAAAAAATATATCTTCAATTCAAATATCAAATAGATGCTGAGAAATGTTTCTATATGTTTAATAGATCTATTGAATTTATTATAAAACATAAATCAATAGAAACTATATGCTTTTATTAAATGTATTCGTGGTGTAGCCTATAATTAAAGCCTTCACTACAGAGTTGTTCTACATGTGAATATATTTAATATTTTGGTCCTCAATACATTATATGAAGTGTTGGAAGTACTTTGTATAAATGGTGTTTGACTATATCAAACCTGTGTATATTGTATTTGCTAGAAAAGTGATCAATATAATTTTTTACAATATACAAATAGGAACTGCACTCAATCCACATAAGCCAAGGGTGCTAATACTAGACCATGGGCCAGCACAAGCCCAAAATAAATATCAGTAACAGAGAAGAGTTCAATGCACTCCTATAACTTTAGACATGTTTATTGGAACATGAGGAACAGTGCAACATTTCGACCAAAGATTGGGTCTTGAGATTTCCTCATGTTCCAATAAACGTGGTCAAATACTATTTTTCAGTGACAATTCAAATTCAAGAAACAATGCAGATTTTAAATACGTTTTGTAAACCTTTGAATGTTAGTTGATAAGTAATGCTTTGAAAAGTCTGCATGGATATAAAAGATATGGGGCAGCTACTACACTGCTGGCACGCTACAAAACAACATCAAAAAATGATTGTTATTTCTGATATTCACTGCTATTCTCTAAGATACCATGAGTTATACTCATCCATTGATTCACAAAAAGCTGAACGACAAACAAAAGGCAGCCAATTGCCATTTAGTAGTCACAATTCTACGTATATAACAAACTGTAACCCATTTGGCTATTAATAAATGGCAAATGTGGTTCTTTCATTTGAATGTTTATTTTATTTGAGTACTGTTCACAGTGGTGTATCCTGGTTTTGTGCTGCCCTAGGCAGGACAAAACTCAGGCGCCCCCCCCCCCTCCTGCGCCAGCCCCACCCAACCCTTCCCCCGCCTTCTAAATACACACACACACATTCACTGACGAATACGCATACACACACTAACAGACACACACACTCACTAACAGACACACACACTCACTCTAATAGACACACACACTCTAACAGACACACACTAACAGACACACACACACTGACACACACTAACAGACACACACACACTAACAGACACACACATACACACAGACACACACACACACTAACAGACACACACACACAGTCAGACACACAGACACACACACACTAACAGACACACACACACTAACAGACACACAGTTAGACACACACACTAACAGACACACAGACACACACACACTAACAGACACACAGTCAGACACACACATTAACACACACACACACACTAACAGACACACACACACAGTC